AGTTGGAGGTTGCTGTGAGCGTGATACCATGGCACTCTACCCAAGGGGATACCTTGAGGCTCTGTCTCAAAAACAAAACAAAACAAAAAAACAGTGGATGCTGGGGAACAGATCAGAATGAAATTTGAAAGAGCAGATTGGGGGCACCTCACCAGTTTTGGTAAGGAGACCCAGAGATGGTAAGGAAGCTGCTATAATCAAACCTGCAAGCTGCTGACAAAGGGACAGATGAAGACACACAGGCACATGTGGGAAATCAGATGTCAAAACCTATAAATTTCAGGGCTCAGCTCCTGTTGCTCAAGCGGCTAAGATGCCAGCCACATACACCAGAGCTGGCAGGTTCGAATCCAGCTCAGGCCTGCCAAATGACAACTACAACCAAGAAATGGCTGGGCTAGTTACGGCGGGCACCTATGGTCTCAGCTACTTGGGAGGTTGAGGCAAGAGAATCACTTAAGCCTAGGAGTTGGAGGTTGCTGTGAACTGTGATGTCACAGTACTCTACCAGGGCAACAGCTTGAGGATCTGTCTCAAAAAAAAAAAAAAAAAAAATCCTATAAATTTTAGTTCAGTGAGAAACTGAGGGTTCTTTCAGCAACTTGTATGTCCAGATGGGCCATGCAGTGACCAGTTCTGGGTTAGTAAAGAATGAGTGTGAGCAGTGAGAGTGGCCTCAGTTCCTGCTGCCCTCCTGGTCCTGTGTCCCACAGCTCCCCACCCTGGAGGAACACAGAGCCTTTTCTCCTGCCATACCTTGCTCTCCTCTGTAGGTCACCCACTAGCACACAGACCTGCCATCTCCTACATCACCACTTTATCCAGCTAATGCCCTTCCTCTCCTCCACAGAGGGCTGGGTCAGAGTCTCCTCTCTCTGTGTAGCCAAATTTAGTGTCAGTCTTCAGTCTTCATTGCAGTCAGCAGCAGGGGCACAGCAGGTCCCCTGGCCACAGCTCACTTTCAGCAGGGCTCTCCCAGTGTGCCTTCCACTACCACTCCCCTCCTTGTCCACAAGTCTGAGAACCCTTTCATCCTTACCTGCATGTGAACTTGACCTTTAGTGAATGTAGCTGTGGTCCCCTGGAAACCTGGCAGAGGTAAACAGTCATTCACACTGTGGCCCCACCACAGCAGGGCTGGACCCCAGTGCTGAACATCCACAGGAATCATTCTCAGGCCTCCTGACTGGGTCTTGTAGCCAGTATTGCAGACATAGGGGGTGCTGGCTTGTGTAACCAGGAGGCGTAGGCCAGGTGGTCCCTGATGTTATGTGCCTTATGTCCATGCACACTAGTATCCCCTGAATGGCTTGTAGGACAAACCCAGCTTTTTCATGAACCCAGCACCAGCCATGGTCATCCTATGAGTCTGAATATTCACCTGAATCCAAGAGACCCCTTTTTGGTGCCCCTGAGCTGGCAATCCCTCCCCTAGGACTCAGCAGTGCATATCTGGCAGCATCTTAGACATTTAACATCTGAACCAAGCCCCCCTCCCCCTGCCTATACCTCACACTATGCACACGTACCTCCTCCCACCTCCCTCCCACACCCCATACCTGATACACCTTCCAAGCATATCAGAACCTACTTTGCCCAACCCATCCTCCCTCCACCACCCCTCACTGTCCAGTAGCCCCCAGCAGCCTTGAGTCTACCAAACCCCTCCACCTGCACTCACACAGCAACACAGTGACTGTCCACTGCTCCAAGGTCCCGCTATATGCCACCAACTCCTAAAAGACTACCCTGAGGTTCATGATCTTCCTTAGAACCCTGCAGCCCCTCCCCTTGGCCATGCTCCCACCCAGCTCTCACACTGCCCCTCCTGCTGCACTAACAAGCAGGCCAGCAAAGCAGTGGTGGCTATTTGATACACATAGTAAAATTAAAGGAGCAATGAGATCCCACTTTATGCCCTTTGAAATGGCAACACATAAGGTGTCAGCACCTGACATTGCCAGGGACAAAAAAAGTGGTGCTTCTCATACTCCTTCTCAGAAGGCACCAGCAGGCCTGGGGAGAGCCAGATGTGCCCTTGGACAGTGGGTGCCATACAGGGGTGGGCGCAGGAAGGAGCAAAGACTAAGGATGGTGCCTTGGCAAATGTTACCTTAGTCCTTCGCACACAGGTCATACACTTGCTGAAGAGAAAGATGTACACTGTGCTAGGCTGCCAGGTGGGTGAGTGAAATGTGTGATGGGGTCACTGTGCGGGTGGTGCTTGTTTTGTGTACTAAAATCCTTAGCCCTTGAAGGCTTTAATGGTCACAGGGACCTGAGACTGGCCTGCCTGCCTGTCTGATCCTGGGCCAGCTGTAGTATAGGGCCCACCTGTAGATATGGGAGACGACATATTCCACATTCCCCTGACGGCTCAAGATGACAAAGAGAATGCCTAGAACTGGCCAGA